CTCATTTTGAAAGACAGTTTTTCTACAGGGAACAAAAGCTGAGGAAGTTCATCTCTAGCAGATCTGTATTACAAGAAATGCTAAAGGGAGTTCTTGAATTGAAATAAAAGAATACTAAACACCAGCATAGTGACATAAGGAAGTACGGAACTCACTGGTAAAGTAAATATATAGACAATTCAGATTACTGAGTAACTGTAACAGTGGTGAGAAAATCACTTTTAATTCTTGTACAAAATTTAAAACACCAAATTCTTAAAAATAGCTATAAATAAAAATATGTCAAAGTATAAAATATGAATAAATGTAAAATGTAACAACAATAGCATTAAATGTCACAACAGAAACATAAAATGCATGTTGGGAAGAGGAGAAATTAAAGCAAAGAGATTTTTTACACAACTGAACTTAAGTTGTTATCAGTGTAAAACAAATTGTATATTTTATGTAAGCCCCAAGCTAACCACACACACACACACACACACACACACACACACACACACACCTCTATAGAAATTACACAAGGGAAAAAAAAGGAGTCCAAGCCTATCAGTACAAAAATTAACAAAATATAAAAGAAGACCACAGGAGAAGACATGCACAAAACTAGGAGTGTAATAGAAAACAAATAAAAAATGGTAGGGCCAGGGATTTAGCTCAGTGGTGCCTCCCCAGCCTTGCAAACACAAGGTCCTGAGTTTGATTCCCTGTTAAAAAAAAAAAAAGTAGAAAATGCTTCCCTATTGTTAAAAGAAAATGGTTTAAATTCCTTAATGAACAGACAGAATTGTGGAATAAACAATGAAACCAAATACTGTATACATTTTCTACAAGACATTCACTTTAGATTTAAGGACACACATAGGCTAAAAGCAAAGAGATGGAAAACGTATTCAATTAAAATGATAACCAAAAGAGAATAAATATGGTTACAGACTTTAAGTCAAAACTGTCTCAAAACACAAAGGACATTATATAATGATTATATATATACACACACACACACACACACACACACACACACCTAAATACATAAAGGAAACACTGAAAGAAGTGAAGGGAGAAATAGACAGCAATAAAATAATAGCAAGCTTCATTACACCACTTTCACACATGTATCCAGAGGATCGCAAAGAACAGTTTGGACACAAACAACATTATAGGCCAAAATGGATTTTAAAACCTCACACAGAATGTATGACCCACCAGCAGCAAAATACGCATTCATCTTAAGTATGCACAAACTATTGTTCAGAAGGGATCATATGAAGGCTACACTTTCAGGGATCATTTCTGTAGTTGGTAACTAGAGAAGTTTCTCTGATCGTGTAGAGTACCAGGAGGGATCACATGTTAAGTCATAAAATAAGTTTTGCCAATTTCAAGAAGATTGAAATTATACCATGTGCCTTTTTGACAATGATGGAATGAAAGTAGAAATTAATAGCAAAAGAAAAACTGGAGAACTCACAAAAAAAGTGGAAATAAAACAAGGTACTGGGGATCAAACTCAGGACCTTGTGCTTGCAAGGCAGGTGATGGCACCGCTGCGCTAAATCCCCAGCCCCAAACAAGACATTCTTGAAGACTCACTGAGTCAAGGAGAAACAATACAAAGAAGAAATTGGAAAACACCTGGAGACAAATGAAAATGAAAACACAACATATTTGTTTTGGTTTTTTGGTACTGAGGATTGAACTCAGGACCTTGTGATTGCTACACAGGATCAATGCCACTGAGCTAAATCCCCAGCTTCCAAGACACAACATATTAAAATTTATGAGTTATACTAAAAGCAGGTCTAGAGGGTTCAGAATGATAAATGCCTATATTTTTAAAAAAGGAGAAAATCTCAAACAACCAAACTTTATACATCAGGCACTTTTACGAAAAGGACAAACTGAGCTCCAGTTAGTAGAAGGAAAGATATAACCAAGATCAGAGCAGAAAGAAATGAAGTAGAAAATATTAAAAAAAATCATTGAAAGTCAGTTGGATTCTTTTACAAAATTATAAAATAGGCAAACCTTTAGCTAGAATAAAAGAAAGACTTAAAATCATAAATGAAAGAAAATATATTACAACTGATGTCACCGAAGTGAAAGGAGTAAGAAATTATCATGAATAATTACACACCAAATATCAGGTAATTTAGAAGATTGGTAAATTCTTAGGAACAAAGAAAGGCCCAGGACAAGATTCACTGGTGAATTCTTTTAGACATTTAAAGAGTTAATGACAACCTTTCTCAAAACTCTTCCAAAAAAATTAACACACAACACTAAAGCCAAACAGACACCACAAGAATAGAAACTGCAGGTCAATATTTGTTAAAAATCTAGATTAAAACAAAACAAAATGAAAAGCTAAAAACCTCAACAAAATGCTAATAAACCTAACCCAACAGCACATTGAAAGGATCATATAACATGAATGAGTAGAATAACAGAATAAAGGCTAAAAATCACACAATCTTTTCAACAAATGCAAAAAAAGCATTTGGCAAAATTCAGCACCCTTTCATGATAAAAACCCACAACAAAGTGGGAAGGAAAGATACACCCATATAATGAAGACTGTATATGAAAAGCCTATCATTAGCATCCTATACAATGGCGAAACACTGAAAACTTTCCTCTAAGGTCAGTAATAAGGAAAGGCTACCCACTCTCACTCCGTCTGTTTAACATTGTATAGGAAGTTCTAGCTAGAACAATTAAGAAAGCGAAATGAATAAAGGTATCCATATTAGAGAGGAAAAATAAAATTGCCTGTTAGCAAACATTATATATTTTAAAAATCCTAAAGACTACATTTAAAAAAACCTGTTAGAACTGATGACATAAATTTAGTAAAGTTGTAGAATACATTATCAGCATACAAAAATCAGTTGTATTTATATACACTAAAATGAGTGAGCTAAAAATGAAAATGGGACAACATTCTCATGTACAATAGCACCAAAAAGAATAAATACTTAAAAATTAACTAATATAGTTTATATAGTTTTTAGCACATAAACTACTTATATGCTAAAAACTATAAAATACCAGTGAAGGAAATTAAAGAACACACACAGACATCTTGTGTTCATGGACTGAAAAACTTAATATTGTTAAAATATGGAGCCACCAAAGAACAAAGATGGCCAAACTGATACTGAGGGGGGAAAAAAAAAATTCTGGAGACATCAGAATTCATTTCACAATATGTTACAAAACTACTGTAATCAAAACGGTGTGGTGCTGGAATAAAGACACGTGCAGACCAATGGGGGGATAGATTCCTGCTCATACAGTCAACTGATCTTTGACAAGGGTGCCAGGAGTACACAACAAATACAGAGTACAGAATAGTCATTTCAATAAGCAATGTTGGAAAACCTGCATATACATAGGGAAAAGAACTAATTAGACCCTTACTGTACACTATTAAGGACTTTATAAATTAAGCCCTTACCTTATAACAACTCAAAATAGATTAAAATCTTAAATGTGAAACTGCAAAACTCATTGGAGGAAACATAGGAGAAAAGCTTCTTGACATCAGTGTTGATTTCATAGACTTCATCTCAAAAGCATAGACAACAAAAATAAAACTAAAAAGGTAGGACTTATCAGATTAAAAGCTTCTGCACAGCAAAAGAAACATAAACAGACTTATTAGTCTGTGAAATGGAAGAAAATATTTGCAAATCATATATTTAATAAGGAGTTATTCTGCAAAATATATAAAGTTCAACAGCAAGAAAACTAATAACCCCCCAAAATGAGCTAAGACTATGAGTAGATATTTCTCCAAAGAAGATATGTGAATGGCTAATAGATAAAGGAAAAATGCTCAGTGTCACTCATCTTCAGGGATATGCAAATTCATACCACAATGTGAATCAGTTCATACCTATCAGGATGACGTGAAAAAAATCCCAATCAACCAACAAACAAAGCCTAAAGATCATAAGTGTTGGTGACGATGTGGAGAAATTGGGATCATTGTGCACTTCTTATGAGACTGCAAAATGGTGCAGTGTTATGGACAACAGTGTGACGGTTCCTAAAGCAATTAAAAAGCAGAACTACCACGTGATCCAGCAATCTTATTTCTGGGTATTTACCCAGTTGAAATTGGGATCTCAAAGAGATACCTGTACTCCCAAGTTCAGTGCATCCCTGTCCATAATAAGGATGCAGATGTGACCTAAACGTTACTCAACAAACAGTCGAGGGGATAAAGATAGAGAATATATCCACAATGGAATATTATCCGGCCATAAAAAGAAGGGAAACCAATAATGTGTGACCACACGGATGAAACTTGAGGATCGTATGCTCAGTGAAATAAGCTTGTCATGGAAAGGAAGTGAGTCCACAAAATAGTAAAATGCATAGACTCAAAGAGCAGAATGGTGGTTACAAAGAGCTGGGGAGAGGCAGAAATAGGGGGTATAGGTATTAATCAGGTATAAATCGGTGTAACCTTTCAGTTAAACAAGGCGAGTGACTTGTGGAGAGGTGCTATAGTAATGTGCCCATCATAACAATAGTCATTGCACATTTAAACATTTGTGAAGAGGATAAAGCTCAGATTAAGAATTCTTTTTAAGTTGAAGTTTATTAGTACACATGTGCAGGGCATAACGTACATCTTCCCTCTGGGAAGTTGGTACATGTACATGGCACATCGTCATTCCCTCTCTCCCTTCCACCCTCTACTTGTCTCGGTCTCCTTCCTTTTTCTCTTTGCATATTTGCAGTACGTACGGTTTACATTCCTTGTGTGGCATTGGCACATGTTTGTACCACACTACAATCTAATAATAATTTAGAGAAAAGAAATGTGTACAGTGATGCCTGAGACTCGGGAAGTTTCTGCCCAAAGGGAAAAGCCCAGAGGCAGTTTCTCTCCATCTTTGTTACCTCATGGAACTCCCCAGGACAAAGACAAGGTGTGCCCATGTACTCCCAGCATTCGCGGGGCCTTTTCCGATCATTCTACCTACTCTGGATCTCATTTGGCTCAGAGAAGAAAACAGTTCCCTCCGTCACATGGCTCAGCTCTCAGGAGGTAAAGTATCCATCCAATGCATCCACTCCCTTTCAAATCCCGGTGTTTCATTCTCCTTCACATTAAATGCTCATCTCCATTGAGGCTATGCTTTAATTCAACCTAGAAACACATAGAAACGGGAAAAAAACAGATGCCAAAAAGACACATGCCAAAAAGTGCACATAGAGATATATAAACTTTATGGATATTTTCTTACTATAGAAATGTATGTTCATTAAAAATTAAAACAAAAGATGTAAGTAGAAAGATTTAAAACTCACTCATGTTCAGCTCAGTTATTAACACTACGAACATTGGAAAACCTCTTCTTCCAGCCTTTTAAGAGGAAGGGGAGACTGACATTTGCATATTTTTTCATTTACAAGAATGGAATATTTTTATAACACTCATTTATAATCTGCTTTTTTGTTCACATGACAGTATATAATTAATTTTTTGCAGCAGCCTATTTCTTAAGGGGTTTATGTCTTCTTGCCTTCATAAAAATTCACTTTAAAATATTTTTGAACAGAGTGGTAATTTTTAAATACAAATGCATAGTGATTTTTCCCCCTGGTCTTACTGTGTTGCTACCCCTGCTAAGAGAGATATCCATGCTATATTTTAATATTGTTCTTCTGTAGACAGTGCAAGGAAGCAAATCTAACAATTGGTCCCACAGATGTTTTAAAACAAGAGCTTCCTTGTGTTTTCATCATGACTCAGAGATAGTCCGTCCTATTGCTCGTATGAATGACCCTACTCTAAAGAGAATTTTTCTCTATCTCCTTCATGACTATTTTTATAAAGGGAAGACAGGAAGCCACTTCATTATTCATTTTGACTGGCGCTGATTAAAGATCTCTGCTCGTGCTGGGCATCTCGTGTCAGTGTCAGCTGCACCTTTGCACACCATGCCTGACTGGCCAGCAGCAGTCACATTTTAAAGTGCATCGTTTATTTGTTTAATCTTCTGTGATACACCGTAACGTGAGATTTTTGAAAGAGGACAAAGGGATATCCTGTGTTAGCTATTTCGGTCACTATTTGTTTGCATATACCTTCATGAACAAAGGTACCTTTTTCCTATGCCAATATCTTTGTGAGGAGATAAATGGCATTTCACCAGCTGGACAATGTCATCTTACTTTGGAATTCAGGAAATAAGTTTAGCTTAGGTAAAGCAATGCTGGGGCAGTGTTTGGAGGAAGGAAAGTTGCTGGCTGGTGGGACTGGAAATGCCCGATATTGTCAGACTGAAAGTGGGCCTGAAAACTAATTTTTATTTGTTTTTTTGAGGTAGTGTTTCATTATTAGTTCAGGCTGGCCTGGAACTCACGGCAATCTTCCCGCCTCAGCCTCTTACGTGCTGGGATTACAGGTGTGTACCACCATGTCCTGCAAGACAGCTAACTTTTCATAACCAGTGAATGAGCCTGGGTCTGTGGTCAGAACAGGGCACTGCAGAAGGAACCAGAATGACTTCCAGGAAGAACTTTTGCCGACTTTCCTTTTCACACACCAGGCAATTTGCTTATAGCATCTCACAACAGAGGTCATAGCCAAGTAGGGTTGGAAACCGAGGCAGGCTGTCAAGAGGAAGATGGTAGCAATTGGTCAGCTCTCTTCTCATGCAGAGTGACAAATAAGTTTATTGCAGGGTCTGAGATGAGCTTTAGCTGGGGTCTTCAGGTAAAAACCAAGTGTATAAGCAGCTAACTATGGCCTCCCGCGAGGCTTCCTGTTCAGAACTAAGGTCAGTCCTAGCATCCACTGGCACATCCAGCAAGTGCCCAGAGGGAGTACAGATAAATGATGCAGGGCACAGGAGCATGAGTGAGCCAGCAACAGTGTCACAGTTTTTCAGCTGTGGGTAGCATGTTGGGCGTGTGGGAGGGAATGGTAGAAAGTAGAATAAGAAGGCAGATAGGACCCAGTAGAGGAGTTTGACCAGCTGAGTTTGACCACATTCTGTGGGAAGGAGACACTTGGCAGTGTGTTAAAGTAGGAGCGTGACGAGACCCATGTTGTCATAGAGAGACTCTGACAAGGTGGGAAGATTACAGCAATGTGGACCATAAGGCGAATCATTCATTGGCTATGACAATAAGAAGGAAAACGGGCAGGATATATGTCGCAGCATTATTTGCAGGGGCAAAACACTTGGAACAGCCTAAATAGCAAAAAACAGGAGTGGAGTGATCCTGTTGTGCCAAAGAATAATAAGATAACTCTCTCCACATACGGACGTGTTCATCGAGAAGGGCGAGATGGACAGTGGTGAGCACACTGTCGTCATCAGCAGAGTGAAAGCAGGGGAAATAGAGCTGTATGTGTGGGTATGTGTGCAATTTAGTATTAAGGTTAGTTTGTCAGGTGGATGTTGGAGGAAAGGGACTTCTGTTTTATTGCATAGTGTCTCATAGTGTTTGACTTATTCGAGTGCAACAATTAATTTTTTAAAAAATGGATTTGAAAGTCTTCTCAAATAACCTACATGAGAAAGGAGTTAGGAACTCATGAATTTCAAGATACAGATTTTCCTAAAAGCAAACCCTCAACTGAAGCTACCAGGGCTTACCATTTAGTGTATAGCAGCTTGAACCATTGTTTTGATGGTGGTAGCAAGCAGTTCTATCCCTCATCTATTTTCTGCCTAGCTGGGTGACAGCTTATGAAAATGTGAAATTAGAGGGCCAAATTAGGACCAGGATGTCTTCTTGCCCCTTCTTAAGTAAACATTCTTTACCATGACACAAAATTGCACTTACTCTCTTTGGCCAAGAATTTAGGTGAGAAGCCACTCATCAGGAGAAAAGAATAGGTATAATTTTTAGGTGGCACAATATTTAGCTACAAATTTCATTTAAAAACAGTTGCTGTAACAACTTCAGTGAACATTGGGATCTTCATGTTGACCTGGGAAAAAAGTGCTGTCTCCCATCTGCCCAGTACACTCTTTCAAACCAAGGTTATTTCTTTGGAGCTTTTAAATGTTTAACTTCTGGGTATAATGTGTAAATAAATATAAAACCAAGCTAAGATCTCACTCCCAGTAAGTTATTCATGAGACTATCTTTTGTCCAAGATACTTCAGTTTTCTCGTGTTGTTTTAAGTCTGAAAAAAAAAAAAACTCAAAGAACTCGGTGGTGTATAGATTTTTCAGTCTCCCTGAAGCACCTAGAGTTGTCTTTTTTGTTTATTTGTTTGTTTCCTTTTGAGTCCAGGGAAACAAGCCCTTTTTTCTTAATGTAGTTTTATTCACACATCATTAAGCTGATTTACCATATTATGCACCAGTGTAGGCTTAGTAATCTTGGCTTTCCCTCATCGAGAGAATGAAACAATTACTCAGAGCCTACTATAATGAAAGGATTTTGTCCAATTCTGAAATTATCCACCATTGGGGATTTTCCTAAAATTCCTGATTTCATTAAAGTTCACAAGGGGGTTGGGTATTAAGTAAATTATAAATGCAACAAATGAAATGTAATCTATAAAGCAGAAGTGTGTGACCCTTAGGGCTTGGCTGGCTAATATAAAGCATTTTTGGGGAGTAGAAATTTTACCTGGGGTTTTAACTTTCACTATTTTATTTTGGAAAGTACGTTTTGTTGGGTGGCTTTGCTCTGTATCTTGGAACTCCTTGATTCCAATGTTCTCTTTTAAAACATACACACACACCACACACACACACACACACACACACACACACACACACACACACACACAGACACTCCCACACACAGTTGTTTTGTTTTTCTCAGTAGGTGCTAGACTTTAAATATTCTGTGGCTCTCTGTAATGCAACAGAGGGAAGGATCAAAAATGATTAGTCACACGGCCGGGCTCTCAGAGACAGGGTCACACAGGACAATGAGCAGGGACTGTGGTGCAGCTTGGAGAGGCGTAAAAAAGAGGCCATCATTGTCCACGGTGAGCAGTCACCTGGAAGTCGAAACAGTGGCGTGTCCTAATCGGAAAAATAAATGACCAGCTGCAAGGTTAAAAGCTCGTTATTCAAGGAGTGTCCTTCATCTATTTGGAAGCATCTGGAAAGCAACTGGCGTCGGCATTAACTACAAACTCATTTACAAAGCTTGGCAGCATCTCTTTACTCGACACCTCCCTGATCACTCATCTTGTGGGTCCAGAGCTCTCGGGCTGTGCTCATAAACAGACAAAGCAAAATTGAAAACCAGCAGGATTTTATTGAATGGGTGATTGCCCAGTGGACCCCGAGGCACACTGGAGAGACCCAGAACCTTCAGTCTTTAGGTGCCGTTTCCACCCCATCGAGTACTGTAGGATTGTTTTTTCCCCCCTTCCCTTTCTTTTCTTTGTTTTCCTTCTCTCTCCCTCTCCCCACCTTCAAAAAAGACTCAGACAGGGGAATTTTATTACTATTCAAAATGAAAGTGCAACCTAGGCACTTCTGTGAATTGCCCTCAAGTTTACTTTAAAAGACATTGTTAGAAATAGGAATGTGTGAGAGATTATTCTTCAGATGCTACACATGTGGAGTTAAAGTGATAGATGTGAACTCGGGTGTCTGCTTCTAAAATGTTCCTTATGAGGGGAATTTAGCCACACGCTGGCCTCATGTTGGAGAAAACTTTTATGTACACTGGAGAAAAATACTACTGATGCAAATATCTTTCTCAGAGGAAGACGGGATACTAAGGAGCCTGTGTTATGTTCTATTGAATCTTTGAGCTGATCATGCAGTGATGTTAACAATGTATCCTGAGATCTTTACATGTTTAGGTTTTAAGGTCAAAAGTAGGTGAAACCTATACAAATGCTATTCCCCTTAGCATCTAGAACAGTGCTTTGCACTACCAATTCCAAAAGATTATCAGCTCTCATAGTCACTCATGCTTCCAATTTCCTTGGGATTTGGGTTTTGTAGCTTTTCCAAACTCATGAACCCATGTTGATCATATTTTAGGAAGTGATAAGATTGGAGGGTGACATAGATGGTTTTATAGTTAAGGAGTGCTAACAGAAAACTCATTATAAATGAACTAGAAGAAAAGTTGCGCTAGGTCACAGTGAGGCATCCAGGAATGGCACAGAACCAATGCCTTGAAATGACAGTTCTCAGTGGCTTGGAGTATTATCATCACTGTTAAATGAACTGAATGCCTGGCCAACCAACACCTGCTTCATATTTTAGGATCTGTTTTTTCCAGCAGAACAATATTGATTCCTAACAGTGCAGTCACAAGAGTCTCACTGTAGCCTGAACTTGTGATCATAATGTACATCTGATGAGAATTCCTAACAGATGAAGAAAAACCTATTTCTTGTTAGGTAAGAACTAGGAGAACTGGGAGAATTTAATTAATTCATAATTTCCAAATTAAAGTATATATAAGAATGGGATGAAGCTCAATTTGGAGAATTGAGATAGCTTTAATATCTAGAAACTACTTAAAACACCTTTTTATGGTCTACTATTCTTTAATTTTTAGATTTGGAAGTGTACCTGTTTTTGTTTTTTTCGCCTGGAAGAATGATAGGGTAGCTCAAAATCATGGAAAGCAATATTGTGAGAAGACTCACAAAGGATAGATGTTGACATAGCAGACGATTCAGTTCTATGCCCAGTGGAAAGGCTCAGATATGGCTCCTGAGTTTGCTGTACTTTATTTGATCAAAGATACTTTATTTATTTTTTGGACAGGGTCTCACTAAATTTCCCAGGCTGGCCCCAAACTTGCAATTCTCCTGCCTGAGAGAATCCTCCTGCTCCCTCCTAGCGGAGATTATAGGTGTGTGCCACCATGCCCCATGTAAAGATTATCTTGCTCCCTGATTTGAAAGTGAAGACTTTAACTTTTGTGATGGGAACATGGTCAATGCCCAGAGAGGTGCTGGGGTAACTCTGAAGGACACAGGCAACTTCATTTGCTTTGTTGAAAGTACTACCAAATGGTCTCCCTACACTTTCTTTAGAAACTGATCCTTGGTCTCATCTGCTAGAGAGGATGGGAATTCAGTTGCACCTAGAGGCCCAAACAACAGCTCTCTAGAGTTCTCAAGAAGATGGAGAGGAATGGATACACTTGGTTCCTAAAATCAGGCTCAGTATGTTTTGTGAGTGCCAGATGGGCAATGACTCTAATTCAAGTTTAATAATAATCCTGTGCCTGGCAGATATGGTTGCATAATAGTTGACCCGATTAAAAAGGTTGCATTATTCAGTCTTGAAAATACTGTGTGAATTTAGTACAAATCAGTGGAACTACCAGCCTCTTTAAATTATGGATAATAAAACCATGGAACACGTATCCCAAGAGGAAAGAAATTGAAAGCATAAAGGCTTTTTAGAAAGCTATAGATGAATTCATAATGACAGAGCTGAATGTGTTAGTAAAAGACTAAGCTATTTGGGGAATATGACTCTTACCTTTTCAAGATAAGGGAGGACAATCCTTTTTCTCTGCAGGTAATTTCTTGGAATGACAATTTTTTAGGGAATTACATTCCCTCGGCAGGGCAGAAGGAATGGCTGTCTGACCTACCAACTCTACCATCAGACAGACGGCGATGCGGCTACAGAGTGAGATGTGGGCAGTCAGAGGATCCCAGCCTATCGTCCACAGTGATTCTGTGTGACTTTCCCTCCCTGGGACCCAGCTTTCCTGAGGTGTCTTCCCATCGCATCTTACAGAACGTAGCACCTCAGTTTGGTCCCTGGTGTTTCTCCTCAGAAGGCTGTGACAGTACATACGAATAAGCAAGAAGCATTTCTCACAAGGGTGGGTCCCCAGTGAGGACTGGGACTGCCGTCCAACTCCCTTTCCTCTGACTCACCTTGAACTCCACCCGAGGCATGGAGCCTGCCTTGCTGTTTCCTTACTCAGATGCATAGTAACCAAGCTGCCTTAAGATCAGTGCTTACTCCCCTTTCCTCGGACATGTGAGCTTTTGATCATCAAACTTCAACTTCACTGGAAAGCCAGGTTTACTTCTCTTTGTTCCCGACCCTGTTCTAAGTGTGGGACATTCATTTCTCACAACCACACTTAGAACAGGGACCCACCTAGAGTCTCAGAACAGGCTCTAGAGCACTACTGGTAAGGAACCAGCAGGAAAGCCTTCATTGGATTATGGGTCATTTCGACTTATTTGGAATTCCTGGGATGGTGAAAAATAAACATTTTTCACAATAGGATTCCAAACATGGTGGTACATTTAGGTTGCATCAGACAAAGACAAATAATGCTTTGAAGACCGGAAATCTCCCCAAACTCTATCCAGTATCTTATTTGGAAAAAAGGTTAAAAGTTTACCTTTGGGTCCCCTTGTAAGAATGATGCCTGAGGTAATTGGCCTGGTTCCCCCATCATAAACCTGTGAAGGCAAAGATGGGGCTGACATTAAATCTTTTGTGAACATTTAGAAGGAGGATCAGTGATGATTCAGAGATACGGCTACAAAAACACGCTGAAAAATAACATTTTAAGCAAGATATTCTGTATCTGTCTCATATAGAAGGACTCTACATAAAAGGCAGTCTAGGCCAGGAAGGCAGCAGTAATATCAAGAAACCATGCTTGTTTTGTTTCATTCTCTGTATGGCTTCTATCCTCAAAGCAACTTCACCGTCCAAGATGGCTGCTTAAATCTAGCCATTGTATCATCATTCCAAGCAGTAGGATGGAAGAAAGTGAGAGAAAAAACGTACCCTCTCCCTTACAGAAAGGTTTCTGAGGTCAGCTCAAAGCACCTTCTCATTTAGCTCATTGGCCAAAAGTTGTATCCTAGGCTCCCTGAAAGGGAAACTGAAATGTCACCCCCTTTAGCTAGACAACAATGTAGTCTACTTAAAATAAACTCAGGAATATTTTTCAAGAAGTAGGGGGAGCAGATTGGAGGAAGTAAGTACTACTGTCTACCATAACTAGCTAACTTTCACGTCTCCTGGGTCACAAATTTGGGGATCGAATTTCTCTTTAATTATTACTGTTTGAGTTTAATGGGATCAAAAGTCCCCACCACCAGATCCAGCCTTCCTCATTCCACTCTCATATTTACTTTCCCTCCCTGCCTGGACGTGAGCAGGGCTCTCCTCTGTCTGTCATCTCTGGCTTCCTCTTCACCATTGTTTATGAACTGATCTGATTGTCAGTGTATAGCAAGCACCAGGAGCTACCGTATTCTCACTGTGAACACACACTTTCTTCTGCCTCCCTTTCTTTGATGAATCCCAAAACTACTCTGTTGTGCTGTGGATGACGTTTGTCTCGCTCACCTTTGCTTCATTCATGGACATCATCCATACTGGCATTAATCAGCTCATGCGGTGATGCTTTGTATAGGTGATTAGCATCTCACAGAGCGATTGTTTGGGCAGAATATTAGTTCCCCAGGTAAAAGGTCCTCACATGGTTTAGTTCCTACTGATTTGATTGAGTCTGCTTAATCATTTTGTTCTTTTCATCCCCGTATGTTTGGAGACCACCAGGAGACTGGGCTGGGGAAGGTAAACTGCCTGTGAGAGGAGAGCAGAGTCAAGGACAGAGAGAAGGTGCTAGGATGCTGCATTCTCCTGGGAGGTCGGAACCGGGGGATGACTGCCTCCCTGCAGACTGCGTGCGTGCTGTACCGGTGGGGGGACCCCTGGGTGGCCAGCCAGCCGCCCAGACATGACTCCGGTCACGTCTGTCACTATGCCTCTGTCACCATTTGCTTTCAAATGTGATTTCATTGTTAGGAGAGAAGGAAGGAAAGTTTTAGTTGTTCTGGGAATTTCATAAAAACTTGCGTATGCCTGGCAGGGGATATTACCCGAATAATATTACCTGCCAGTGTTACATACTGGAAAAATGAGAATCACGGATGGGAATGTGGAAGTACAGCGATCTTTATTTAGGCTTCGTCGTCTTGAAGATTCTTGACGAGTTTACCTGTGATACTCTTGAGGATGAGAACAAACATAGCATATTTGAGTTTGATTGAATGAGCATATCCAGTGGGTGCTGATTAATGGAGGTGGGTACCTAATGGGCGGCTTGAGCCTCTGTCCTTGCCTAATGAAGATATAGAAGGTATGCTAGTTAAATTTTCAGATAACTCTAAATTGGGAGAGTAGCTCACATGTAGAGAATATGTCAGAGAATCAGGATCCGCAAACCTCTGCAGCCTGAAATGCTGAACCGAACCTAATGAAGTGAAGATGAGAGGGGATAAATGTGATCCCCTCTGTGGAGTCCAAACGCCAAGCTCACAAATACAAGTGGAAGGAAACACACCTGAGTTCATCGTGACCAACTAGGGCTTTAAAACTCAAACGGTGTCATTCCTTCATTCTTTCGTTAGACAAATATGACCCAGCACTTTTTTGTTGTTGTTGTTCAGTGTTGGGGATTTAAAGATGAACAAGATAGAAGTAATTTCTTTTCTTATGGAAACAAGTAAGAATAATAAAGGATGACACATGTAATGGTAGGATAAATACGGATCCATTCAGGGAAGCTCACCTCAAGAAAGGGACATCAAAGGTGGAACAGGAAGGGTGAGTAGAGGTTACCTCACCAGGCAATGGGAGGGGAAAGAATGCTTCAGTGAGGGAACAGCAGGTGTAGGGATGGGAGGAGGGTCATTAAAACTGCGGTTGAAAGGGTGTGGGGAAATAATGAAGGAGGAAATTAGTTAGACCTAGGGTAGGCGTCAAAGGGTTTTGCAATTCACTTAAAGAGCTTGGATATTGTTCAATTGGGATGGGAAACCATGAAAACATTTGGGGCAGGAAGTGACATCATCAGATTTCCTTTTTTGAAGGACCCCTTCCAGCTGTCACTCTAGGATTGATGGAAGAGGCAAGAGGACAGCTGAACTAAATAGCTGGTGACCTGGTAGAAGACCTTTGTAGTTATTCAGATGGGGGATTTCGGTCACCTCTGCCAGTGATTGTGTAGATGGAAAGAAGTGCACAGAGATTAAAAATATCCAGAAGAGAAGTTAGGGACTTGGTTATGACCTGCATGTGGGAGAGGTCGAGGCTACAAAGAGGATGCTCAGACTTTTGCCCTGAAATAACTGAGTTTGAGGCAGTCAGGTGTCGTCTAAGAGGTCCATTTGGATATAAGAATTTAGGAAGCAAGAGAAAGGTTTGGATTGGAGATACAGATTTTGGAACAACTGGAAGAGAACAAAAAAATTTTGAGTGAACAGAAAAAGAAAATTCTGTTCTCCCCCATATTTAGAACGGTAGGAAAGTGATATTTCTGGATTGGTTTATAAGATGACACAGGGGCTCAAAGCTTTGACCCTGATCAATTCTGACTCTGCTCCACACAACCATGTGAGCCTAAGCATGGTGACTTATGTCTTTGAGTTTCAGTTTTCATCTGTAAATTGGGAGTGTAAAAAATGCACATGGTTTTATAGCAATGAAGTATGACAATGAATATAAAATGCATAATGGAGTGTTTGGCATGTAGTAAATGCTCAAGAAATAAGAGATATCTTTATTTTCACTGTTGTGATTTTATTTTACTTGTTGTTTGGGTGAACTTGCTGTATGAGAAACAGTGTGCTTTATTAAGAGGAAGGGCTGCAACTCACACATGAAGAACAGTTAAAGAGCCTAGGGCTGGTCAGCTTTAGTACAAGAGGCTTGAGATAGCTCTTTGTAAATACACAAGTGATTTGAAGAAGACAGAAGTACCCTGTAGGACACCAGAGGGCAAGATAGCTTGAACTGACAGGAGTTTCAGAAAGGCTCAGCTGAGCTGAATAGAATAGGAAATTTCTAAGAGCCAAAGATCTCTGAAGATAGTTTGTTGTTTTTTAGGAAGTAAGGCCTTCTTCCTCATATCTCTAAATTAGAGATTCTATGATTGCAATCGGAAGAGTCATCCTTGTTTTTGGAGGTGGGACTGGATGTGGCCTTACTCATTGTGTACAGAGCTAGTGCCCGGTTTGAATAGGATGCTTATTTATGGGTTGGGGTCCTCAGCAAACTCATTACAATTTATGAACATTGCATGATAACATTCAATCTTATACCAATTCTATCACCATAGAAAAGACTGCTTTCTTCTCTGGGTTGGGCAGGAGCTAAGACATTTTAGACAGGATCACCTTGCTCCCCTGGGGCTGTGTTCTACAGCACGCCCCGCCCCCCATCCAGATCACCAGTGCACCGCAGTGCAGTCGGTTGAGGCTGCGATGTCCTGTGACCATCTGCCCTGAATGGGCCGTTATCCCCACCTCCCCAGCTTTAGAAAGACAAAGCACTAAGGGACGAATGAGAGGAGAGACAGGTTTTCAATCTCACCAACCCGAGTTTACTTTCTGATAGTAAAATTGAGGGAAGCCTCGATGATTCATAGGCTCCTTTCCCTTCATAGGCGTTCCAGTTGCATCTTTGTGCTAGGCCTGCCAGTTATGATATAAGGTATTAATATCTGAAAAGAAGAGCTGCTGGTGCTACTTACTCAGACCTGTCCTGACGGTGGGCCGGTGAGCACGCTCCTATGTCAGATCGTACTATGCATTAAATTCTTCACTTAAAATAGGCGGGAGTTATAGAGCACTCTGGGCTTTGGCTGTACAGATTTCAGACCGTCTGCGGGATAAACTAGTAAATCAGCCATGATAGGGTTGCTGAAAAGCAAGCTGGTACCTGTCTGATGTATAGAATCCTTGGGAAAGACTTTGAATCAAGAAATGTGCCAGTGACGTTAAGAGGATGTGAGAGAGGAAGATGCAAATGATGGAACCAACTTTCCTTAATTCAGAAAGGAAAATGCTTGCTTCCTCTTCTAATTCTTCAGGTTGTCAGATGTGCCTTGTTTCTAGCAGCTATTTGTAATATTAATCATTTTAACAGTATCAAACAGACTGGGTTTTTACACTTGATAAATTTTTGATGTTGAACCCTTGAAAAATGCAGTGGTGTGATTTTTTTTCTCTCAAGAGTTTCTCCCCAGAAGCCAGCGTTAATTTGCAGATGCCAACACATGACTAACGGTTTTATCTCAAAAGATTAACACACATTAAATTAACATAGGACTGAAGCCTCAGGACCCTACAGCCTTTTGTGTGAGAGATTCTGGGCTTTTTTTTTGAGTTGGACAGTCTGCAGGCAGACCTCTGAGGGATGGTAGCTGGTGAGTCAGTTGGTCAGTCAGTTTGATGACCCATTATTGCCTACTCTTTTCCTTGTCAAAGAGGGAGAAATGTGCCTCACCCCAGGTGAAAAGACATGTGTCAATGAAATTCCCTTCCCTTTTGATTGATGGAGGGAAAAGAGGTGATTCAGTTCTGGCCAATGCAATGTAACAGAAGGGGGATATCCGGATGGACTGAAGGTGGAAGGGATAGTGGCTTCTGGAAAAGAAATAAAGGAGATCACCATGTGGTACTAGTCCTTCTCATCTCTACTAAATTCTTTCCTGATGTTGGATGATGTTGTGCAAAAACTGGTCCCTGGAGCCAGCAGCCATGCTGTATCATGAGTGGAGACCATAGCCTGTGTTCAGGTGCCACAGCGGAAAGACGGAAAAAGCCTGGGCCCTCAGTGTTGCCGCCAAGCCACTGATTTATCCTAAGTGCTTGTTCCCCATTTTTCTTGTTGAAAGTCAACATAAACCATATTACAGCAGTCTCTCTTATCCACAGTTTCAATTAGCCACAGTCAACTGTAGCCTGAAAGTATTCAGTGGAAAATTCCAAAAGTAAACAACTGATTCGTTTTAAATTGTTTGCTATTCTGAGTAGATGATAAAATCCTGCGCAGTCTTGTGCCACTACACCCAGGATGTAACTCATCCCTTTGTCCAGTGTGTCCAATGTGCCCATTCGTCTTCTAGTAGCCATTTTGGAAGATGAATTATTGAAATATTGTAGTGCTTATGTTCAAGGTAACCCTTATTTTACTTAACTATGGTCCCAAAGCACAACAGTAATGATGCTGGCCATTCAGATATGCCAAAGAATATCTGTGAAGTGCTTCTTTTAAATGAAAGGGCAACAAAAGTACTACTTTACTACAATATGTTGTTATAATTGTTCTGTCTTATTGTCAATCTTTTATTGTGCCTGATTTACATATTGAACTTTATCCTAGGTATGTGTATGTAGGTTTTGGCACTGTGTGCAGTCCCTCACGAACAGCGTATTGGGGAGCAACACACTATTGCAATTTCTTAGGCATATGACTTCCTCTCCTAATTTAGTTTATAAAATTTTCACACAGAACTGTGGAAAGATATAGTTCCATCTTCTAACAGTATTGCAGATGAAAAGTTTTATGTCAGTTTTAAGTTTTCTATAATGTTTTCCTTGATCTTTTTGGCTTTCTCTCATTCTTTAGTGTTTAAGTCCATAAGGATGGAATTGCGAGTGGGAATTTATATACTGTATTTACTCTGCTCCATACTCAGTCTGAAATCAAATTATTAGTTTTGCATTCTGGAAATTCCTATTGGTTCTTTTAAAAACTCACCATTTAATTCATAGAACCTAAAAGTCAACCTTCTGAAGGTTGAACTGGTTTTTGTATATTCACAAAGCTGTGCAATCATCACCAATACCAAGTTTTAGAACATTTTCATCCCCTCCAAAATGCCCTGTACCCATTAACAAATACTAGTTCTCTATTTCCCTCCTCTCTGATGCCTAGGCAATCACTAATCATTATGTGTCAATGGCTTTGTTAATCCTGGGTACTTCATATAAACAGAATCATAGGATATGTGGTTTCTTTCACTTAGCCTAAAGTTTTTAAGATTCAGCCATGCTGTAGCATGGGCACATTCTTTTTTATGGGTAATATTTCATTGTATTCACATACTACATTTTATGTGTCCATAATTCAACTATTTTTGAAATGAGTTTGTCCTGTGCATTTTTTAACACTTCTTAATGCTTCTATTAGGAAAGTATAAGGATTCTATTGATTCACTATGATTTTAACTTTTCTTTAGTATATTTGACTTCTCTTTGCTAACCATTTTGATAGACTTCCTTGATTTTATTTTTCCTTCTTAACACTTCTATTAGAAAAGTATAAGGATTCTATTGATTCACTATGATTTTAACTTTTCTTTAGTATTTTTGACTTCTCTTTGCTAACCATTTTGATAGACTTCCTTGATTTTATTTTTCAGCCCTTTTGTTACAGGTAGACTTTTTTAGCAGTCATAGTTTTAATTTTCACTAATGCTTTCCTATCTTCTGGTTATTCTTTTTAAAATAAGCCTCTCTTGTCATGATATTTAGTTCACATCTAATGAGCACCTATCTAGTTGTCCTAGGTCGATGCAAGGTTCCTGCAAATGTCTGATCTAGAGATAAAGGACATCTTCCTAGGTAGATATAACCACTGTGCTGCGAATTAAATAACATAAGCTCCTTCGGGTGCCTGGACCTGCAGTGTTCTTGGTCTATGTTGGGACCAAGAACTCTCGGCCTGTGAGTCAGTCGGCATAAAGCCTTAGGCTTTGTGTTTGTCACACTCTGTGCTGTCAGAGAAGCGAACTCTCCAAATGGCTGCAAACCAAGTTGGATGTCAGTGACTTCAGTCTTCTTTCCTTTCAAGGTTTGGCTTCTTTTTTGAAGTTCAGGTTTATTGAGGTATGGTTCACAGACAGTAAAGTATATCCTTAAAAGGTGTTCAGTTTGATGATTTTTGATAAATGTACACAGGCATGTTATTTCCACCATTATCAAGATAGAAAATGGCTTCGTTGGCCCCCAGAATTCCCCTTGGTTCCTTCATCTTGACAGTGGACTTCTGCAGCGTTTCGTGATCTATGGAAAACACACTGTCCTGGCTTTTCCCTGCTCCTGTGTTCACTTAACAAGCTTTTGCTTACCCTTAGGGGTGAGAGGTGGGACTGCCCACTCTGTGGGTGGGACAGAACTATTCCTTGAGGATGTGTGGGTGTGGAGGAGGAAGGCAGCTCAAATTCTAGTCTCTTAATTGCTTTGATGTAAGGGGATAAAAATGCAGTGGGAGGGACTACCTGCACCAGGTATTTCACAATTAGTCCTTTAGTCAATTATCCAAACTATTGTTTTATATCCTACTGTGATTTGTTTCTTGTTAGGTACAAAGTTAGGGCCTCCTAGGACTCTGCCATAGAGAAGGCTCCCACCTGGGCTACAGGTTTCTTCCAAATTGTCCTGTAGGCCTCCACTTGCTTTGCTCTGGCTTATACAATAATGTGGTTCTGTCTTCTCTTTGTTGCCAGGAAATTCATCAGAGTACATTCCTCACTGATAGCCTTCCCTGTCAGTACAGTGGTGTCCTTTGTTTACTCCTGCTTTATATCTTTACTGTACATGTCATGTGACCTTATCAGGGGACATGGACAGGCGTGCTGGATGTGCCATCCCGATGTCTAAATCTTGGGGCACACTTGGTACAGCCACTGCTCAGCAAGTAGTCACACTACTTGATGTCTTTCAGATGAAACACTGCTGTGGGAAGAAGCAGCATGATCTCTACTTGTGAGAAATCACCAGGACCCCTGCTACCATTTACTGGCTGTGTTCAAACTATTTTTTCTTAAAAAGTAAAACAGAGTCTGAATAAAAAGAAAAATGAATAGAGTCTTACAGGTAGTTTCAAGAAGTGTCCCAAAGACACTTGGGTTTTGACATTTAGACAAGTTCAGTTTTAGCCTTTCTGTAAATATGTCCTGAACAGTAGGTTGCCTTGCCAACTTCATGTAACATTTGGGAAGCTGATGGAAGCTACAATGAAATTTTTATCAAGGGGACCCTGGAATAGGGTGGCTTGATCTGGGCCATAGGTAAATTCAAAAGGGAATCAAAACATTACATTAAGATCTATTCTACCAAAGTGGGTCCCAGCTGAGTCATTGGCCCAGTCACAGGAAGATGTGCTCCTTGCACTTACATTTTGGACACTTCCTCTTTTTTGCCCAGTGCTCTTGCAGGAAGGTCCCAAGCTGGTCTACGACTAGAACAAGTACTTTGGCAAGCCCTATCAGTACTGGTTATTATGTTTCCTAGGGAAGCTTCCAATTAAATACTAAAACCTGTGTGATGTCGGAAGAGGGGCAGAGGAGATGGCACCCTCGAGACCAGGATGGTTTCACTGCATGACTCAGGGACCGGCAGCTTGTATTCTTTCTTTTTAGAGATCATCCTCCACAAGATCAACAAAAATGAGGTATGATGGCTGGAGATTGTCAATTAAATCTTTTCCACATGTAATGTGTATGTGTATGTGTAAATGTGTGTAAAGTAGTATTCAGTGAATTCCTGAAAAACATACCAACATTCATCCACTCCGGTGTAGGAGCCGACTTTTTCCGCAGCACCAGAGCTCGGCTGAAGGCGACTGCTGGCAGGTTAGGTGTTTAAGACAGAATTTCTTCTAGCCACTTGTTCTGTTACTATAAGTGCCTGTTAAATAGAGTTTGTACATTGCATTAAAAAAATCTACTCCAGTGGGTAGAAAACTATAGAATACACAATGGATCATTTTGGCTCATACTAACTTTCTGAAAGTCTTTAGAGAAGTCACTTAAACACAAAACCAAAACATCCATTTCTCATTCCAAACCGTAATTACCACTGAGAAGGTATTTTCTTTCTCTTTCTTAAAAATTCAAGAGGAGCTGGGGAGGCTATAAAAATAGTCTGTGTTGGACTTGCAGAGAAGCATCCAGGGGCAGCAGTCGGGTGGGTGGACTGCCGTCTCCTCCCGATTTCTCGCCGTTGTAACTCTCTGGCAGTGAGGCCCTCCCCCTGCGTGGCGGGAGGAAGACGCCACAGGAGTTAAATCCCTTCGCACACACAGGCTGTGCCGGCGGCCTGTGGTGGGAGGTGGTGAAACCCTGGCATTCCATGGCCTTTTGCTTCCTCTGGGTCTCGGCTGGGTCTCTTTCCTTGCCCCTCCCTTGGATACTGCAGGGCGCAGTGAGGGCGGGCGGTGAGGGATCTGATCCTTGTCTGGTTAAACTGGCAGATGAGACTGAGGTCAGTGTTTGGGCGAGTCTTTCCTCACCACGAACGTCAGGGATGAAACAAGTTGCCTAACCTTTTACCGCGGTTTCCTCACCTGTGGAAGGATCCTCGGTCCATGCCCTCCTTAGATGAGGTGAGAGCTAAACCAGGTTATCTGTGAAATCCCTGGTCCTAGTTCCACCCAAACCGGTTGTTCCTGCTCCTTAGGTGACCGTGGTGGCCCCTTGGGCGCGCGTGCGTTGGGCTCCGTGGGTCACTCGCCAACGACCTCCGCCCTGCCCTGGCGCCTGGCAGCCCTCCTGCAGCCACGCGGTCACCACCGCCTTCCGACTGCACACTGCGCCGGCAGAGCTGCCACATCTGCCAGCAGAGCCTGAGGCCTCGGGCCAGGCCCGGGTGGGGAAGTGGGAAGGGTCCACAGGCTGGCAGCACGGCAGGCAGGGAGGTGCCTGGGGAGTCCGCGTGTGGCTGAAAGGGTGGCGCTGGCGTGAGCTCACGGGTGAGGAATCCGAAGAACTGGGTGCAGGGAGAGGCTGCCCACGGGACCAGGAAGAAGTCGCCGCGAGTCAGCAGCGCAGGCGGCTTCTGCCCTGTGAGCAAGGCTGAAGCACGAAGGCCAGAGAGGCTGTCTGCGACCGCGCGGCGCTGGCTTCTTCCCAGCCCGCCTCCGAGCTGGGCTCTGCAGGCTGCCGTTTCCCACGCGTCT